TTAAAATATTTTTAGTTTTTATATGAAATGTCCTGTGATACAGTCAGCTTTTCTGTCTTCATGCCAAATTCTTGTAAATACATATGCAAAAAGTAGAAGAATTTGTCTTAAAAAATACAGTTTTATGATTACCTGGAAAAAAATATTTTTCAAAATGTACAAATAAATAATGATCACTTTTCTTGGAAGTCATGTGATTTTGAAGTCATTCTCTTTTTGGGAAGGAAAGGTGGGCTGACTTAGTTTTTATAAAATACATGGTACAAGCTGGATCATTGTCTCTTTCTCCTGAAATTAGTGTCTTGAGCCTTTATACAGTTGGGCATACAAGCATTTGGAGCAGTCTTTGTGGTTTCACTCCATTTTGCTGACAAGTAATCATGGTTTGGACAATGCAGTCCCACTGACTTTGAAGTGGTTACTTGTATGAAAAGAAGGTAGGAAACAGAATAAGATTCCTGCCTATGGTAGCATTTTGATATTTCAGATCATCTTCTATCATCTCTACCTCCCATTCAGCAAAGTATTACTTAATTCCATAATTGCTTAGTTCACAGTTAAAAACATTAAAGCTAGATATTCAGCCAGACATTTCCATCCATTATAATTTAAGATGGAGAGTTAAATCCTCCACATTTTAAAAACATCAGTCCATGTGTGTCTGCCACAATTCTTAAATGAAAGTAAGATGTACACAGCAGTGATGATGGATTCAAGTTATTAAAAGCAAATGTTTTACTTTAACGCAGCTAAGTATTATCATAAATACCATTTGGTTCTTATTCCTTCTTGATGTGAGGTTGCCATTTGGGACATTCTGCTACTTATGATCTGTCCTTGCCTATCTTTTTTTTCTTTCCAAATGTAAACTGAGGTTGAAATCAAATCAAACAGTACTGAAATAACTCTAGTGTGACACAGCTTTTAAGCTGTCTAACAGTCCTAGATGCAGTGAGCTGTTAACAGAAAACACGTTGACAACATTGTTTGCTCAATGTGTGTCTTCACTGGCGGAATAAAAGTTGTACATGTACTTTCCAGTATTTGTAAAAAATTAGTCTTTAAAGGAGCTAAATAATAATAATAATAATAATAATAATAATCATCATCATCATCATCATCCCAACCCCCTGCTGTTTGGCTCTATTTGTTTCTTCTCTCTGTTGTTTATTTACAATAATTCAGGGCTACCTCATAACATAGAAATTCAAGAAAAGACACAAGGAAAAGCTGAAAATGGTATAACTGTTTTATAGAAAGCTATCTGTGAATACAAGCCAGTTATTCAGGAATTGAAGAGAATAGTGGATTTTAACTTCCCTGTTTATAGTAAGCAAACTGGGTCTACCTTCATTGCCATAATTCTAAGAAATCTTGTCCCAAAATGTCATGCTTATCAATAAAGCGCTTGTCATTTTTTTAATATTATATCTTGCTGTAAATGTAAAGCAAATGTACAGTCTCCATAGTAACTAGACATTTTCCCAATTATATACATGTTTTTTAGCTTCTTTGTAGGAAAAAAGAGCTCTGATTTAAATTTCATATTTTTTGATGGTCACTGAGAATCGATACTTAATTTTCTGATATCATAGCTCATAAACTGCACTTACATATCTTACTGTGTATGTTCAACCTATCTTTTTGCTCTAACAGAAAGGAAAGCCATTTGCTGAGGCAAGTTGATAAAAAAATTATTTTACTGTTAAAAATATTAATTGAAATAGAAGTATATATGACACATGCAGAGCAGAGCATACAAATTAATTCATGTGCATCAGGAAACCAAAATAAAATCTCAAACATCTGCATTTTAATTGTAACCAGTGCTGGATTTCAGTGTTGAACAATTAACGGTCATTACACCATTTTAAAATATCAGTGGGAGAGTGTCAAAGATGAGTCTTCCATGTTTACAAAAGATTTTGCCTGTGGCATACTGTGTGCTTTTGTGAATCGTTTATCTTCTTGCTTAAACCTGTCATGGTATGAAATATTGCAACTGTGATTCTGCATGACAGAATAATGAAACATTGAAAAAAAGTCCACACTGCAATGATTTTTCCACAGAATTTTGGGCTTGAGAACCTGAAAAGCTGCACATGAAATAGCTTTTCTTTTCAGTCCATCAAAAACTAATCCAGGCCAATGAGTTCCCTTCTACACACTGAATATGCTATTCCATTGTTCGTGTTTTTTTCTATATTGACCTGGTTTTAGCTTTTCTTTTAAACTGTACTCTATTATAAGATCTCATATACTGTATTAGATGACAAAATAGTTCCTGAAGAGGTTCATTCAGCAAATATTTGAATGCTATATCTCACATTGAAAGTTGGAGCCATAGGGAAGATTATGGAAGAAGAGCTTTTGCTGTTTTATTTAGGAAAATTACTTTAAATTATCTTACATTAGCAGCTTTGCTGGAGTACCCTTTCATTCTCCAAAACCCTTGTTTCAACTCTTTGTTATTGTGAATAATCTCTGACAAATCTACATGTCATGATGCACATTAGCAAGTGAATTCAAGATGAGATCTGGTGGTTTTATCCACAAAGGCCAGCATTTTTTGGGGACCATCTTGTCAGTGAGTGACCCCTACACAATCCATATCAAGTAGTGCAAGCAAAGACTCTTTTCTTAATGCAATGTCTCCTATCAGGACCCAAAATAATAGTTACAGGTAATAATTTCCTACAACTGATCTTAAACAGCTCAGCATTAAAAAGTTATAGCTATCCTTCTCTGCAACTGTACTTGAATATATTGTATTTAATAGGGATGAAAGCTATTAGATAAAACACATTCATTACACAAATCTTTAAAATTTCAGACTGAGACAAATAATTACCTTGAGTGCAGAAAACAGGTTAAATCGATTGTCAAAATTACTTTGACTTTCTTAATGTTTGTTACTGGAATAATTTTAGTAACAACAGATTAGAGAAAGAGCATAGGTCAGGAAAAAAACCATATTAATAACTTACAAAAAAAAAATACACCACTGTATAATTCAAACAAAGATTCATATTTTAAAATTTGAGCTTTTGGGTGCAAGGAATTCTGCTCCCTACTACTGTAGGAGTATTGTTGAAAGAAAGCAGCTAAAATAGAAATACTTGTTTTGGCCTATTTGATGTGTCATGTCATCCTCATTTTTGAATGGCTACTGCCAGGTAAGTTTTTTCCCTTTCTCTTTCAACACACAAGCATTCATGTTTTCTGTATTCACAAAAGTGGACTAAATACTTCCATGATCTATTCTACAGGTACCTGGTGTAATTGTCAAAATACAGAGTAAAGGTCTATCCCGAGGTAGGACAGACAAAGAGCTTGAAAGAAATAACAGATACTCTATCATAATCATACCCCCAATACGTCGCTGAATCCTTGTATGTCAGGGTTAATCATATCTAAACCATGATTTTCCTTCTTCGCATCAGTATTTTTGGTTTTTTTGTATAAGCACTGTGAAAGGGTCAAACAGAATTCCTTAATACTGTTCTTAACATGCTTAGTGTGTAAAGAAAATGAATATTTGTCAAATTATTCCAAGTAACTATGCAGAATAGTGGGATTTTTCCTCATTTCCATGTCTTGTTTTGGGAATTCTGTCTTTATTTCCACAAATCACAAAATTACATTTCCATCCTGAATGTCAAAGATATTAATATTATATATTAGATATTATAAAGAGCATTAACATTTTAAATCCTTTATTGTAGTAATTTTAACTCTTTACCTGTTGACATCTGTGTCATAAATGAAGAAGTATTAGATTTGATGGAAATGGGAGGACATAGTCTTTCCAGTTTATCTAAAACAAATTAGCCAGGTCAAAAGCATATGCTTGTAACAGCTAGAAATAATTCAAGAATTATGCAAAATTATATTTTTTTCTGAATGTTCTAGAGGACTAAGTAGAGATTCCCATGGCTTAGGAGACAATACTTTTAAAAACCTGTTTATTTTGTAGTAGCCTATGCACCTCTATGCTATACATAAGAACAAATTAATTGGATATTAAGGGAGTTCAGTCATCATGAGTATGGCAGATGGATACACAGCAATTTAAGCATTGTCTTTAATTTGGATAAAATGTTTGCAGAATCAACATGAAGGAAGATTAATAAATACCCATCCCCATCCCCAGGCACCTGTTATTTGACGAACTGAAATGTGAGCAGTGGGTCAGAATAAAGTCCTACTTATCCAAGCATAAATCTGAAGCACGGATATTTAAAGAATAAATTATATTCAGTATGTGGCATACTGCTTACCAAGGAGTCACAGTGAACAACAAACTATCAGCTGTCATCATAGGCATTGTTTAATAATAAAGTAAGATAAAATAATTCATAAATCCAGAGAGATAAAACGGTGCTGTAAAAGCCCTGTCTTTGTGTGAGACAGAAGACATGTTTAAAAGATTCATCTAGTCATCAGAAAAAATGTTAGGATGGGAATGAAGTTTTGATGGAGGGTCTGGGAATCTATAAAAACCAGACAGACACATGCTGCTCTAATTTCATTCCTCAGGAAAGACTATGCCATTGCCTCATGATGCAGACAAGCCAAGGATTATGACAGCAATATTACCATAGATTTAAGACAAACATTGCTTCCCCTGCTTATGTGGACTTACTGGAGCTATGCTACACTTTCTAGAGCCTTGGCACATGATCTTGGGTGAAAAGAAACCTTAACTGGTACCACTAATATATTTGGCTAGCATCACAGCAATATTCTAAGTTACATGTTCGTTTTCACAGTGAGAAAAAAATAAATGAACAACAGTAATTTCAAAAGAGAATGGTAAATATAAGCATTCTGAGAAAATAGTGCACTATAAAAATGATAAAAAGTATAACCAGAAATTTCAGTTTAAAACAGCTTTTTCACGTTAATATGTTTAATATAAAAGCAATCATACAAATCATCCAGAATTGTTGAAAGTATCCAAGCAACAAAAAGATACGAATGAGACCAGATCTACTTACCAAATTCCTTAGGAACAGTGATAGAGTAAACACAGTTGTGACCAACACTATAATTCTTGGGGTAGTTTGGTGATAATACAGTTCCTTCAGAGCCTGTTGACCGGCTTCCACAGGGTGCTAGAAAGTGAAGATAATAAGTTTTGAATAATATAATATCAGAAAAAAATCAGTTTAAAGTGATTTGTTGTATGTTGGTATATGCTATTACAGTAAATTTTATTACACTTCTACACTGGATTAGATTTGTACATCCTGCGAAGTACTGAGGATGAACAACTTTCTCATATATCAAAAGAACATTGATAGCACTCTGCAGTTTTCTAGATCAATTATTGTTTTTCTTTACCACTTATCAACCATCTTAAAAAAATAATGATGTGCTTTATACACAGTATGCTATTATTCACAGCATACAAAACTTTTACTCATTCGTATGATGTTTTATACTCTGATAAAAGCATAGATTATGCAGCCCTTCTGCACACTAGTAAATTCTTACTCAAATAAGAAAGTCAGGATTCCTTGACTGAACATGATGTACCACTTATCTATATCTCAATTATTTATAATATATATATAAAGTTATGAGCAAACACTTTTCGTTATCACAGAAACATCATGTTTATACCATTAATAGCTATAATACTTGATAAAATGGCAGATAAATAACAATACTGTTTACTACAACAACATATTTTTCTAAGGTTAACAACAGAAGTTAGCCTTTGGCATTATTCAAAACTGTCAAACAAGAAACAGTGCTTTTTCTTCATCAGATGTTCAGGTGCATTTATATGAAACAGTTATATGTGTTAGTGTTTTCCTATGTCTATTGCCTGCTTCTCATACATACTTTGTAATTTAGTAGTTTAATCTGTTGTCAAGATTATGGTATCTGTTTAGAATATTTCTTCCAACCACTTTGGACTATAAAACATTTTTTAATGAGTTTAATGTTAACATATCTATTTAACAAATTTGCTTCCTCAGTTAAGATGTGACTTTCTAAAATAAGTACTACTCAGTGTTTCGTTTGCTAAACACAAAAAAATCTTTTTTTTGCGGTATGCTCTCAAAACATTAACATCTTCTGAATTATATTAAATAAGAAAAAGATTGTTTTCTTACTATTATTTCAGAAGATTTTATCTCATTACTTGTCATACTAAATACAAGTAATTTATTAGTGTAGCTACAAATCACATGTTTTAAGACTACTTTTAGTTAAGTCACACAAAATGTATGGTAGAGTATACCATGAAAAGAACACATCTTATAATGCTAGCAACTTAAGGCCCCGTTGCTTTGAGCACGGATTTCTGTAATTTGCATTAGCATGGGTTCCTTTCAGTATGGTGTAGCTACAGAATTTGACAGACTGTGTACCTGAAACGGGAGCAGATGGTACCTATTGCTCCAGTCTGCATATACAATTTGTAAATGATTTAATAGGCTGGCATAGAAGTCATGGTATTTGAAATAGGTCAACAGAAGGATCTTGACTTTTGCTTATGTACGTGCGTGTGCATGTGGTAGATGTGGCACGTATATTAGAGATTAGCAAATCAGTCAGGACCCAGAACAGGACATAGTCTTGGCGATGCTCAGTACAGCTTTACTAATAGGCACCCACTCTGAGATATGGAGTAAGCACTAAGACTAGCATACATACATGGAATATTGTTCTCTGTGGCTAAAAGAATAATCTCAGTGTCCTCCCTCAATCCACCATCATGTGAAATATCAGAAATTCATGCCTTCTTGTGAAAATGTATTTAGATAATAGAATTATTGGTACTTTTTGCTAAGAAGCAATAGAGCCTTGGCTGAGCCTCACATCCAGGGACTTATTTGCCTTGAGTTATTTGAAAAACACAAACTAGAAACTCTTCACTAGCTGAATGTAGTAAATATTTTTTATGAAAACAGATTTGCTTACCAGCTTGCAAGTACTCAAGATTTTCTATTCCAGATTTTGGATGAAACGGAAGAGAATATGGAAGAATATAAGCAACAAAAGCACTAAAACTAGAGAAATAAGATTGCCAAAAAGCTTATTGCTTCTCTCTAACCCAATTTCCTTCTTTACTGTTTGTGAGTTGAATAAATGAGTTACTGAAACAAAGACCAATAATACTGTCCCACTCCAGCACTCATATCATTATTATACTTCCCTAATCAGCAGATATACAATAATGTGCAAATTCAGGGTAAAATTATGATTCCACTGAAGTCAATGCCATTGGCACCAAAAGGGACAGAATTTCACCCTTAATTTTTAATAAAACTTGAAGTAATAGCACACAATAGCAATACTTAAAATTAAGTTAATAGCTATATATTTGGTACTCAGCATATAGTGGACCATTACTTATAAAGTCCGGATTTTTATACCCTTAATTTTTTTTATTCCTACAAGTTAGGCAGTCAAACACGGTATTTTTGATTTTACAAAACTACTAGTATGCTTAAAACAGAACAAAATAAAAAAACCCAAACAACAGTTTCTTTTAAATAAACATATATTTTTCCATAAATTCATTTAACTTAACATGCATATTTTTTCAAACAAATAAAAATCAAATTTACTGCAAATTTTACAAGTTTTTATTCACTTTAGTGCAATGTCTTACACTACAAAATATTGATATTAATAGTTGTGTATCTAAAATCAACAGTGACTTTTGAGTTATATCTTTACTAAATATGTAACTGTTGATGTTGTGTTGATGTTGTAACACTGTATAATATCGATAACATACTGCAATGTTAAACTGATGTCACCAAGACATTTTTTTAAAGCTAGGAAAACAGAGAAATTAATTCTGTTTGTGTTTTACACAAGAATTTAAGAAAGCTAGTACACTTTCAAAGAGTTCTTGATTCTCTGAGGTAGAATTATTATATAACTATGTATATGTCTAACCAAAATATTTCACAATATTTGAAAGGTATTCAAATATTATCACAGCTGGTATAAAAATAATCACACAAAATAATTTAATTAACAAATGTACATAGATTTCTAAAAGTGATTAAACCCAGAAATTTTTGCAAATTAAAAAAAAATACAAAATACAATTTAACATCTTCAAAAATCTGAGAGTTCTCATTAATCCTAAAGTCTGATTAAAACAACTTCAATGTCTCTAAAAGGTGGAGATAATGCCATTTTCTTTTTATAATTGATATTAATTAAAATGTTTGTATGACACGCTGTCTGAAACATCTAAATGTTTTCTCCACACATTGGACCCCATGAAAGCAACATTCATCTGCACTGGTTGTATAGTGGGTGCACATCTGGTCACATAAGAGGACAAGGGACACAGTACAAGGCTGGAAGCAGGATTTCCAGCAGTGCTCCTTTAGGTGCAAAGTCTCTCAACAGAGTTGCCTGCAGCCTATGCTACAACATGCTCAGTACAGATTGGACTTAGAGACGAACTATTTGTCACTCTGACATATGTAAAGTTTAATTTGCAGCAACAACAAAATACTTGCATTGAGTATTTCATAGTAATTTCTTTCACTTGGTGTTCTCATTCTGGACTTTTTCACTCTGCCCTTTCTGAGTTTACCTTTTCCCTTATGGACTCTCCCATTGTTTTTCAGCTGCTGCTATAATGACTCTTTATCCTCACAAGGATTCACATTTCTGGGTCTCAAAAACAAATAGTATAAAGAAAAGTTGAATTAAGATGTAAGCACACAGTTGACCTTTGCAATCTGAGAAAATGTTTAACTTCATAAAACATTAGGTGGTAAATCATTTAGTTCTTACAGCAGCAAGACTGTCCTCCAAGACCTTTCTGAATGTATCAGGAAAGAGGAAGAGATTTATTTGATATTTTAGTAAACCCATAGAGTTCACTGTCTATATTTCCTTCCTTACCTTTTGGGAGATGCTTACTTTAAAATGCCAAAAGTTTCAGGAAGAGGAGGTTCTACCCTGACCATCACTAAACATCACTGTTCAGAAATCAAAGATGGATCCAGGGACATGAAACCATAGCTACAGTGAATTAAAAACATTAATTTGATACAAAAAACCCCCCATATTTTTGCCTCTGGAAAATATCTAGTATTGAGTTGTTTGGTTGGATATAATAATTCCACTACCACAATGCTACCCATTGACTTTCACTTATGCTAATTTCAGCTATGTAGGTCTCATTGTCTTTGCATCAGTTTTACAGTGCAGTGATTTATTTCATTTCCTAATAACTACAGAGTTAAAAACTGAAAGGTTGTGAAAATCAACATGTCTAATTATTATGCTATGCATTGAAAGGTCTACCTACATTAAAAATTCTAACAGACGCATCACACCCACAAACGTAAACTGCGTTATTTAACACAAAAAAAAGCAACAAATGCTGAGCACCATTTCCCTAGGAATGAAAAAAATCCTGCAGAATAAAACAAACCAACAAACCATCCAACCAAAAAAAAAAGTTCAAAAGGCAAATGATATTGTCTAATGTAATTCTCCAATAGTATTCCAGTATATTTTAATGTTTGCTTAGACTCTGAAATACTGTATCACTTTCTGTATTTATTTCTGCTTTAGTTTATTCTCTGACATATAAAAATACTACTCAGTATGCTGTCCTTGTCCTGCTTTCCAGAATCAGCAATGGAACACTAATAGGAAGGAAAGGCACTTGATTGTGGTAAGAATGTGATAAGAATCGGTGAGTTGATGTATGCTCACTGTTTCCTTGAAACATTATTAAGCATTAATGGCAAAAAGTTCCTTTTCTGTGTGTGCTGAATTTACTGTAACGGTATCTTGCCTTGTAAAATAGCACTCCCTGCAGCCCTTGAAAAAGCCCTATCATAACAACAACGATGTATCACCCACTCTATCTTAAATTGGTAAGCTTTTTTATCTGGAAGATTACCCATCTTGATCATTAGTATTCATGCATCTTTGTCAAAGAACTAAATTCTACCTCTTTATGGCAATGCATTAGTAAACAGAGAATACAATATAAAATGCATTACCATCAGCAGTGACACCTTTTCTCATGTTTCAGCATATATTAGTTGTAAAAGAAATGTAGATGATCACTGCAGAGAGGCAAAATCACACAGCCGAACCACAGCTCCCT